TTGTCGGGCAGTGCTTGATCATTATGGGCTGAGAGGTTAAGTGTAAGGCCATTTGGGATGATACCTGATGCGCTAATCTTGCACCTGCCCACAGTCCCTGGGTTTTTATAAGATGGCTTGGCCCAGGAACCACTTAGTGTAAGTGTTGGGCCCATAGGGTCCATGTGATGAGCTCAGGGGGTTCACTGGGCTCTCCAGTGAATTCGGCCAGGCTTTGTAACAAAGGCTGAGCCGAACCCATGTGGCTGGTGTGTAGATCAATGCTTGGGTCCCATGCCATACAAAGAAGCCCAACTGAGTAGCAGTTTGGAAGACTTTTGAGCACATAACCTTATTGGGCCTAGAGCCCATTTCGAACTAGGCTGATTTGATCAGTCATTACTAAGGGGCGGATCTGAGATTAGGATGAGCCCAAAAGCTTATCTAATCTGTAGATAGGATTAAGAAGAGTCATAATCCAAATACAGATTTGGATAAGGGGCAACTCCTGATATGATCAGGAAATCCTTTCTTAATCATTAAGCAACTGGAGGAAACCCTAATCGATTTACAAGAATTCGAACCCTAGGGAAAAAGAACACATCCTGCAGTTTTGTGAGATAGGATCTCAGAAACCCTAGAGAAAAGAAAAGCAGTTCGCCATCTATTTCTCTAGCTCCCTCCAGTTGCAACCGCCATCCATCTGTCACAGTTCATTTTCTCTGTTAGAGAAAGATCATGAAAAGTTCTTGATATCAGTCTTTGTTGAAAGGCTGGTTCGGTTTTGGTGCTCATTGTCATCCAAAGAATTCTTGTGAAGGATTCGGTGTGTAGGACGCACCCTGCTAGTTCTGTTCCACAGTTGTTGTGTCATCTTTAGCAGGAGCAAATCTTGGCCTTCTTTGGGTGTAAACACCAACTTTGGGAGATATTGTTTCTCTGGATCAGGTATAATTACTCCCTTTTCTTTTTGGTTCTGATTTGGTTCGGTTCTGGTTCAAGTAGGATCCTTGAATCTTGATTCTAAAATTAGGAAATGTGATTCCCAGTTGAAAGGCAGGTAGAAAATTTTTGAAATTCGCCCACCCATTCCGCATCTGTTTTGGTGTCCATACGATGGATTCTACCATCCATTTCAAAACTATAATGTAATATTTAAGGCATAGGTGTGGATTTTGGAAAGGTATTTACAAAGCTTACTCCCACTTCATTGAGAGGATTAAATACAGGGTTAGTAATGGAAGAAGACCGAGCTTTTGGTCAGATCCTTGGTGTGGTGAAAGAACCGTAAGGGACAGATTCCCAACTCTTTTCAACGTGGCTGAAAACCAACAAGCATCAGTTGCTGATTGCTATCAGATGGAAGGCAGTAGGTAATATGGAAACATTTTTTAGGAGTTTCAATGACTGGGAGTTGGATCAGGTGGCTGATTTTCTCCCTTTGATCCAGAATCAGAAGTTAGATTTGCAGTCGGTAGACTCAAGAAGCTAGAGGTGGGCACAGTCAGGAATATTCTCAGTTAAGTCTCTCTACAAAGGTCTTGAGGAAGAGCACAGACAGAGCAGTTTCCAAGCAGAGCTGTTTGGGAGCTGTTGCACCTCTAAAAGTCAAATGACCTGGGAGAGATGCCTCACAGAAGAAATGCTGTTAAGGAAGGGTTTTAACATCCCAACCTGATGCGCCCATTCTGCAATTTGGAAGCTGAGTCCTCAAACCAATTTGTATCAAGGATGGAAGGTCTCAGGAATGTCAAAAAAAGGAAGACACCCATGGTCAGCTATTCCAAGTGCATTTTCTGGGCCATTTGGCATGAAAAAAATAACCGGGCCTTTGAGCAAAAAGCGAAATCTGAGGCTGGAGTTGTTAATTTGTAGTGGAAGAATTAAGGGTTGGATGTCTATAACAAATGCATTTAAAGACGAGTTTTTTTCGGCAACTTTTTAGGGTGAAATTTTTTGGGGGTCCCTAAGGCTATGTTTGGTTTGAAGGAAAATGCAGTGAAAGGATGGAAAAGATAAGAAAACCTTTACAAACCTTGTATAGGCTTCCCTGTCTTTTCCTTCCTTTTCCTACCTTTTCCTTCAAACCAAACATAGCCTAAATGTGATTATATTTGTACAGCATTTCATTGTACAGGACCATTGATATTTTCATACTAATACAATTTAATTTACCTTTTTCTCAAAATAGTAAGGCGTAGGCTGATAATGTTATACTCAAATAGAAATTCAGGTGGCTTATGTCAATTTCTTCTACGTTGGATCCCTTCTAATTGCATGTCCCCTAATATTTTATTGTTTGTAACATTATCTCCAGCAAGTGGTGAGAAACATTAGATGGCTGAAGTCATCATGCTGGTGTATAAAGTTGGTAATGGCTGGTTTAGTTTCAAAATTATTACCAAAGGTGTCAGCACAAAACAATTGGGTGTGATAGCAGCCATATAAAACCACCCAAATGAAAGCAATATTTGGCAAATGTGTCATTGATTTTGTGCTTCATGAAGCACCATAACCAAAGCTTACCCAAACATGGCCTAATCTCTAAGGGAACCAGGAGGTGATCTGATAAGAAGATTTATTCCAAGTGCATCAACCAACCGCCAGATCCACCCGCTAAGTTGCAGGTTACTCATTTAAACAACTAGAGAAGTTTGTTATGGACAGAAGGCTTAGAGTAAGCTCTAAATTAGCGTGTTCTGACAGTCTAGACTCATATGCAGACTGAAAGAGGAAAGAACACCAAACAACATAGTAGTTTTGGAACATTGTTAAGTATCAACTGACATTAAGAGTTTAAGGCATGGAGTGGTTAGAGATGCATACCATTACAAAGGTTGGTCCAACAACATTAGGAGATTGGCCTTCTGATAAGGCTAGGAATAAGTTTGGACTTACACACACTAATGGATAAATATATGAAGAATTAACTACTCGAGTTAAATTCTAAAGGTGGTTGTGTTTGGTACTATTTCTTCAGCATATCAAAATTCCTGTTGGAGAGAGAGTTGTTATGTCCATGATGATTTCATGTTTAGTATGAATCATGATCTTTATCTTATGTGGGCATCTCCTTTCGTATGTTCTTCACTAGGCCTGTGAATTAGTGGACTTATTCTCTAAAGGGAGGGTCACCCATAATTTAACAACGGAGATGGGACCAAACAGAATGGAATGGCGAAACAGGATTCATGTAGCCAACCCCATATAGTTGGGGCAAGGCATAGATGATGGTGGTTCTCTAAAGGAAGGGTATACTCTGACTAGTTGAATTCTTTCTTAATTTTCAACATATATTTCTTTCTGTACTTTGTGTACATAACATTCTCCTTTTAACTTTTATATTAAAGCAAGAAGCATTTTATCATTACAAAGGACAGAAACAAGTCCAGATAAGGAAAAAGGCATGGTGGAAAAGAAAAATAGGATCCAAGGATTTTTTTTTTTTTTTTGTCAATGGACCTGAGGATTATATATGAATATGTATATGTGTGTATATATATGGTCTTAATAACAGGGGCGGAGCTAGGGGGACCTAGGGGAGACATGCCCCCCCCCCCATTAAAAAATTCCTAGTTCTGCCCCTGCTTAACAATTTATAGGGTGCATCTAATACCAAAGTTGAGATTAAAAAGAAATGATCATAACTGTAACCTCACACCAAAGGGTATCAACTTTGAAATGACTTTTGGAGAAGAAAATAGTTGCTATTATAAAACAGTTTAAATATTAGACATTTGTTTTCACAACTGAGATCATCTTTAGGAGAAATTTGACCTCTCACCTGTGACCAATAATGAAACGAATGACGACACCCTTCTCTTCCTCAAGCTTCTTTCTTTTTTCACCTGTTTTTTTTTTGACAAAATTCAAATTAGAGCAAGCAAAGGAAGAATTATTAGAATTATTAAAAGAAACTATAATGTAAAACAAAAACAGAAAATAACTCAAAATACCTTGTGGCATCCAGGTGGCACGAACTGAATCTCTTCGTTTCCGGCTGCTAAAAGCAGTATTAATTCCTATGACCATAAAATATTTTCTTTTCTCTGTTGATTCAGTAACCTTCAGGTTCTCAGATATTGGAGAACCATTTAGTATAGATTCCTGTGCAGCCCTTGCAGCAGCTAATTCCACCTCTAAGTTTGAAATTGTTTTATCCAGTGTTCTGCATTCCATTAACCATTACAGTTGTAAAGTTTGCACTGTATCCATACAAATACCAAGGAATAATACACAAACATAATCCATTTAAATCATCCAATATTAGCTTACTGCATGGCATAATGAGTCTTTGATACTTCCCCTATAATGTCCTTGGATTCACGCTTTACATCCTTCTGGTGGAGAAAAAAATGGACATCGATTATCAACATAATAAACTTCTAGTTTGGGATATATGAAATCTAAATAAGGAAAACAAAACCAACTTTAGTGAAAGCAACTTTTTGAGCAGTTTTCTCAGGATATTGCCACTTTGTTGCATCTTTTATGACCTAGCCCTCAATTCCAAGGTAGACTAAACTTAAAAAGAACCATAGGGAAAATACACTCACAAAACTTGGATCACAACCCTCTGAAATTAACTTTAGCTTTTCATCTTCCACGCTGTTTATCCTTGTAAAACCTTTGGTTTCAGGTACTGCCCACATTCTGTTATCAAAAAGGCAAATGATTAATATGGTATATACATAACCAACAACCTCAAGAAATTATTTCACACTATCCTACAAAAACATGGCTAAGACTAAAAAACTCCAATTTTAGGAAAACCAGAGTAAATTATTTATAAGTCTAACATATGAAGCATAAAATGATTTAAGCAACGCGAATAAGAATCAAAACGAAACTGTGAAATTCTTGCCTTCAAAAACAAAAACAAAACTGTGAAACTTAATAAAGTGAACCCCATTTCAAAATTTTGTTGCGAGATAAGCAAAAGATATGAAGGCAAACAGTGTGGATGGACAAAGTATTAAAAACCCACTTCATTATATGTTCAGACTTCAGAAAGTAAAATGGATAAATAGAGCATAAGAAGTAGAATTAAAAAGAAGGAAACCCCTACCCCAGCCCCGAGAGGCAAATTTAGTTCGCAGAACAAAACCACATATGGAGAAATCAAAAGAAAATTTGAACATGGACTGCCAGTTACAAATACTACAGACATAAACAAGACATATCCCAAGTAAATCATATATTTCAGACAGAGCTACGCAGATATTTGTTGGGTTGGGATTTTGAGAACTGGGGGAGGATGGAATGGAGGAAAAAAGGATATCAGAGTTTCGCCAAGTGCACGGATCTACCCAGTTGGCCCGAGATATAAAAGAAAGTAACCAGTAAGAGAGATTTGGAAAATTCTTGATTAAAAAACTGCCGACAATGTTAAAGAAATTCGTGTATATTTAAACTTGAATTTATCTGTTACTGTAATACAGAAGATGAGAAGTATAACCAGTTACCTTCTCAAAACAGAATTCTGTAAAATTAGATCCAAACTCAGATCTATCTCAACATTTACATCTGAATGAGAAAATTCCTCAAAGAGAAGGAAGAAGAAATAAAGGAAGAAAATTCCAGAAACAAAAACTTTGAAGAACTTGTGCAACCCAACTAAAAACAATCAAAGCCACCAGAAAACATAAGAACTTTCGAAAATCAATCACCCATAAAATACGCACTAGTTACTCGACAGAATAAAAAAAGTAACAAATATGAGAAATCTGAAAACAAATGGACCAGAAATTGTTCTCAAGAGAGCTACCAACTCTGCGGGAGAAAATTTTCATAAATTCAGCCGGCCAATCCATAGCCAGAAGTAAAAACTCATAAACAAACAAAATTGGAAATTTGAGATAACAAAATTAAAAAGAAAGAAATACTTGTTAGTGAAGAGCATTCCGACACAAAAGCTTCCGATACAAAGAAAAAGGGTCCATTTCTGGGACACAACGCTTCTCGAAGGCAGCTCTCCTTTGCTCTTCCAAGACATTTTTGTTCTTCTTCTTCTTCTACACTACTTTTTATCCAACCAACAGACCTTTTAAAGAGAAACCCATCTCAAATCCAGAAAGAACTTAACATAAAGCAGAAAAACAGATTCAAATAACTATATGTCTGCAGAATATAGGGACCATATCAGCTTTACAGTGAGCTCGGAAAATCGAAAATTCAGAGGTGAGGTACAGACAGAGTGATCGGAAGGAAATATAATATTTATATATGTAGAGAGAGAAGAGGGAGAGCTCTAGTTTTATAGTTTTCTTTTTCTTTTATTTCCCTTTGCTTGCTCTCTCTCTCTCTCTCCGTTCAGCTCTCCCCCTCTCTCCGTCCTTCACAAGCCGGCAATCGTAGAACGAGAAGACCCACCAACTGCCCTGCTTATATATCAAATTACCGGAAACTCCTTTGACAAACTTCCCCTGCTTAAAATATCAGTTGCTACAGTGATTTAGTTTGACGGTTTTGAATGACGTAAATGCCCTTCTACTGTTTTACGTTGAAATCCAGATGCATGAATTGGGCACGTTACGAACATGAACATGGATTTCTCTCGGTCAGTCTTCGTACCACGGATACGACAATTGGACGTGCCCAAATCAATCCAATGGATCCAAACCCAAAAACAAAAATCACAAAATAAAAGTAGATTAATCAAGCCAAACAAACCCATACATTGGCATTTTGTTTCCACGTTACGGGTACTGATGACCCATTTGGTTCCATTGACCAATTAAACGAATTGAAGTGGATCCATCTTAAGATGATCCTCATTTACCTGACCCAGATCAACATTTGCTTCCAAGATAATTAATTTTGAATGAATGTGTGGGTCAGATTTGGACAGACAGTGAATCCTCAACTCCTGACACGACCCGACCGGATCTAGTGGGTAATGGGGTCGAGTTAGTAATGGCGTGTTTGGTCCAGTCCTTGTTTGCGCTTGCAAAAAGTATTAAAAAGGGGGGCTACTGGGTCATTTGCTATATTGTAAGGTACAGTGACAGTTCTCCCTCCACGTTAGTCAACCCTCTAAGTTTCTTTCATTAGTTCTTACCTTTTCTTTCTCTTGTAAATCAAGTCTGACCATTTTCCTTCCATCCTGTGCTTCTTCCTTTCCAGCAAACCAAAATCTACAGGGGAAATGTTATAGTGTTAGGAATATATATATATTTTCAATGAGCTTGTCTCATTGTTGCCAGCTGGACCTTCAATCTGAATCAACTATAAATTTCTTGAACAAGAGGATCAGTAAAGTTTTTGAGGGGAAGGAACTAGTAGACAAAGTAATAAGCAAAGCAGTAGCACACATCCAAGGGCAAACCAGTAATAATCCATACGTAAAGCTTGTATTTTTTGCCACGTGTGCAATTTTTTCCTCTTCTTTAGTCTAGACTTCTACAGTGTACAGAGAGATTTCTTTTTTTTTTTATTTTTAAATTTGTTATGTTCTGTGATTAAAATACTTGAAGGCATGTGATGAGATCTGGGCCATCTGGCAACTGGGCACGTGGTTATCATATATACCCTGTTTAAGTGTTGATCGAACACCTAACAGACTCCATCTTCTATCACGTGGCTTCTGGAATTGTCCTGTGAGTTGGGGCCCCTTTTCACTGTAAAGATGACACGCGTCATCATGCTATCAGTTTGCCCGTGCAGGAAAGGAGAAGGGGAAAAGTTTGTTGAGCGCCCTTCCATCTTTTGTCGGCGTATCCAAATTAAACTGAGAGAGAGCTCTGAAACCCAAAAATTCGTGTAAATGGTCGGTTTGGACTAGGTTAGAATATGATCAGAAAGAAAACGAATTTGATTACAATAGATCATCTCAAGGTTGCTGAAATCGATGACTTATAAAATTGGTATGTCGATGGTAGAAAACAAAATGTATAAAAGAAACCAATTTAAAGGTTAAAACCTCACCTTTCTTCTCGTCGTTGTGCATGCTTTTGGGTTGGAAGAAGGGAATGAATAAATAGAAAACGAAAATTTAGTTAAACTTTTAGGCTGCTTTTGGAATTAGTGTAATATATTGATGATGTTTTACGTTAAACCAAAAAGTGACATTGTTTTTTGAAAATAGTGATGGGTGGAACAATKTAAAGTTTTACATCGATAAAATCGATATAATTTTTGCATGATTATCGATGCAAAATTTTAGAGTTGATCAGGTTTTACATTGATCATCAACGTAAAATTATATTTCCATTCAAATGTATGCAAAACTGAACCAGAATATAATTTTATGTCGATTATAATTACACACTCTTTTCAAATGCATACAAAACCGAACTGATATAAAATTTACATCAATTCTTTATTTACACCACATCCAAATGCAGCCTTAATAACAAAAATCAAAAGGGGAAAACAGTTGAGATATAGAAAAAGTTTAAAAAAGAACAATGAAAAGACAAAAATTAGTCACAAAAGAAGCAAAGGTATAATTAAAAAGCTCTTTGCCCATTTCAGTCTTGGCAATGGTGATCAGTTCATTACCTTATATTTTTGTTAAAAGATGTAAACATATTCATGTACCTCACCTAACATCTTAAAACTTTTTAAGTTGAATGATTTTTCTGACATGGTATCAGGGACTCTTTGATCAAATGGTTTATATTGTTCAATTCTTACCACCTCCTGCATAATTAATTAAATTTCAAAATAAGTAATAAAACGATTTCTACTTATCCACTCTTCAAGTCGAATAGGATTTTGTGGGAAGAATAGAATCATGTTAGAGAATAAAACAACGGTTCATTTATAATTGTTTAGTTTTGTCATCATCTCAGTTCTCCAAATTTAACATGAATATTGTGCGCTTTTATGGCACATGATTTTTTCAAACTTGCATCATCTTCAACCTTCATGAATATATTAAAACATTATTTCTTTATTTCTTGATCGGCACAGTCATTCTTCTTTACAAGCAAGATTCCCGGAACATGGTCATACTTGTCAAAACACCTCAAACATTTAAACTTGCATTTCACAATTGATACAGAAAAACATTGATCATCTACAAGAGATACCTTGCCATCAAAATGCTCAACATAGTTTTCTTTTCTTGGATTTCTAACAATTGTTCATGTCATGGGTAGGAAATGGATGTGTTCCGTTTCCAAAATATATCTGATTTTGAAACCCAAGAGCTAGGTTTTTAAATCATTTTAAAGTTCTCTCACTTTAAAATGTTGGGAAAAAAAAATCAAGAGAATTTGAAGAACTAATGTTTTGTTTCAAACTTTTGGGAAAAATAATCTGAAAGCAAGTCTTGTGGAGAATGGCTTTTGTAGTTTTTGCTTTTAAAAACACTGTTTTAGGGTGTGTTTGGTATAGTAATGTTGCATTTTGTTGCATTTCGGATTGACCAATACAAATTTTTGAGAAATATGAGGTGTCACATAATATATTAGGGATAGAGGTGCAAACAAACTGAAACATGACCCGATTCAAATTCAAATCCGATTCGATTTTACTGGATTTGGATACTCCCTGTCGGAATTCGAATCAGATGGATCACAAAATAGGGTATCTGATAAAATGATCTGAATTGAATTCGAATCAAGGGTTAAAGACTAATGGATTTGAGTTCAAATCATATAGATTTTCTATCAGATTAGATTCAGATATACCCTGATTAATTTGAATTTGATGCAATCTGTCTATGTCCCTAATTAGAGACAAATGAGTGTCATTTCAACTAGAAAAAAATGCATATATGTGACTAATCATCATCATTAATTATGGTTGAAACATCAAATTTGACATTATAGATAGAAAAAAAAAATTGTATAAAAAAATCTCTCCTTTATGATCAATCCAAATTACAATCTAATGCAATGCGACTGTACCAACCACACCCTTAAATACCGACCTAATTTCTAAATCATTCTCCCTACATTTCTTATTTCTCAACTCTACTATGTTCTTATTTGCCATAACCTTGTTCATGGGCATCCTTCTCCAATCTTTTATTTTTATTTTTTCAACTCCATGCTATCATTTGCCATAACCTTAGATGAGAGAGTGTGTGATATTTCTTAGCAACCAAGGCATGAATATAACACAAAAGAGAGAAAAATAAATCAGGTTATAAAATGTGGGAGAGTCTTTTCGTGTCTTAGCCTCTCAGGCATACATTACTTCTAAAGCAGTTTTGGTTCCTCATTCAAAACTTACTCTGAAATCGACGCATCCCATTCTTGATAAATGGAACGAATCTCTAACTAAGAGTCAAAAATAAAAACTAATATACAGTCCATCATAAACAGGGGTGTCTTTTTTTGTGTTTCCAATGGAGGTCTTCCCAGTTTGTTTATAAAGAAAACCATGTGCCCAAATTAATTTTAATAAATATTCGTTGTGTTGCTTAATATATCAATCAGACCATCTATGTACCCTTTAAGCTGACCTACTTTTTTGTTAGAAACATTACTAAATCCCACTTTAAGTAATTGGGCTGTGATCTTTCTACACTAAACAACCCAATTAAGCCATTAACAAGCCCATCACAACCTACTCAAATGACTATTACATTAAAAGATAAAAGTAATAATCATGGTCCCGTTTGATTCATGGGAATAGGGGTCTGGAATGAAATTGGAACGGATCATTCCAATTCCAATTATTTGATGGGTGGAATCGGAATCTTATTTTCACTCCTAATGGAGTGATATTCCTCCATTGAAAATGAAATCCTATTCAAGCTGAATCTAATTTTCATTCTGATTCTTGTCTAAACCAACCATGAGAATAAACTATTTCAATTCTGGTTCTTTTGATTTCAATACCAATAAACAGACTCTTAGTAGTTCAATTCAACCACTTCAGCCATTGCCAAATGGCCCTTTTGTTAAAAAAAAAAAAAAAAACAAGTAAGCGGTTAAAGTCCAAATTATTAAATAGAGTAAACCAACGTTGATACTTTGCTTTTTAACGCAAAAAAATAATTCCTCCAGCGTAGAACGACAAACGACAACTTATATTAACTTACCAACTGAGCCACGATTCAGTTGGTTTACTAGAAGGGCATTATGGGTAAAAAAGAAAGAAATAAATATAGTATGAGCAATGTTGACTGTCTAGAAAAATTTAATAAGTACTTATATTAATGTGAAATTCATTCATGGCCAAAGACTTTCTTTTATTTTTTATTTTTAATGTCAAAGGAACAAGCTTTCATTAGTTCCTATATTCACAAGTTGCAATGGCTGATAAAGAAATTACGACGCATGGTTAGGGGTGCAAATTGGGCGGGCCCATCTGAGTCCGAAT